CGCTGCTCCGGGCCTGGCCGCACCCGACCCGCCTGCTCCCCCGGGCCTGGCCGCTCCCAGCCTGGCAGCCGCTGCTCCGGGCCTGGCCGCACCAGCCCCGCCTGCTCCCCCGGGCCTGGCCGCTCCCAGCCTGGCAGCCGCTGCTCCGGGCCTGGCCGCACCAGCCCCGCCTGCTCCCCCGGGCCTGGCCGCTCCCAGCCTGGCAGCCGCTGCTCCGGGCCTGGCCGCACCAGCCCCGCCTGCTCCCCCGGGCCTGGCCGCTCCCAGCCTGGCAGCCACTGCTCCGGGCCTGGCCGCACCAGCCCCGCCTGCTCCCCCGGGCCTGGCCGCTCCCAGCCTGGCAGCCGCTGCTCCGGGCCTGGCCGCACCAGACCCGCCTGCTCCCCCGGGCCTGGCCGCTCCCAGCCTGGCAGCCGCTGCTCCGGGCCTGGCCGCACCCGACCCGCCTGCTCCCCCGGGCCTGGCCGCTCCCAGCCTGGCAGCCGCTGCTCCGGGCCTGGCCGCACCCGACCCGACTGCTCCCCCGGGCCTGGCCGCTCCCAGCCTGGCAGCCGCTGCTCCGGGCCTGGCCGCACCCGACCCGACTGCTCCCCTGGGCCTGGCCGCTCCCAGCCTGGCAGCCGCTGCTCCGGGCCTGGCCGCACCCGACCCGCCTGCTCCCCCGGGCCTGGCCGCTCCCAGCCTGGCAGCCGCTGCTCCGGGCCTGGCCGCACCCGACCCGACTGCTCCCCCGGGCCTGGCCGCTCCCAGCCTGGCAGCCGCTGCTCCGGGCCTGGCCGCACCCGACCCGACTGCTCCCCTGGGCCTGGCCGCTCCAAGCCTGGCAGCTGCTGCTCCGGGCCTGGCCGCACCTGACCCTGCTGCTCTGGGCCCGGCTGCCCCGGGCCCGGCCGCTCCGAGCCTGGCCACTCCCGACCTGGATGCTCTGGGCTTGGCTACTGCTGTTCTGGGTCTGGCTGCTCCCACCCCGGCTGCTCTGGGCCCAGCTTCTTCGGGCCCGGCCACTCCGGGTCTGGGTGTTCCTGGACTGGCCATCCTGGGCTTGGCCGCCTCCGCCTCATGCCTGGCTGCCACTGCCCCAGGTCTGGCTACTCCAGTGCTGGCTGTTGATGCTCTGGTTCTGGCTGCTGTTGTTCTGGGGCCTGGCCGTTGCTGCTCCGGGTCTGGCTGCCACTGCCTTGTGCCTGGCCACTCTAGGCCTGGCCGTCGCTGTTCCAACATTCTGTCCTTTTTTTTTCTTTTTAAAACGCATTTATGTTGCAATGTTGGCTGGTGAGTTGAGTTCTGACTTAGTCTTTGATTTTTCAAGATCTTCTTTGTATTCTTTCTTAAGTAATTTTACTATTTTTTGCTCTCACTTGATTTCTTCACATTGAGAACTTCTTTGGTTTCTTCCTCCTTGTCCTGGGAGCTCAGCAGGTTGGCCTGTGGCACCCCTTTGTTCTCCGCAGGCTCCTGTGCTGCTTCAGCCTGTTGCCGGGACGGCGCCACCCAGGAAGCAGCCCCCGGCCTTGGCTCCATTGCCTGAGCTCAGTGGTCAAAGGCTCAGGGGCACCCACGCCCCCAGGGGCCCCGTGGCCCGCCTCCTTGCTGGTGCCCGGTTGGCTGGAGTCCGGCAGGGGCTTCCGCTCCCCTCCGCGTTCCCCCAGCCTAGAGCTTTTTTTTTCTCCTTCCCGCTAGGGAAGTCCAGCATCAGTGTCAACAGACTGTCCTCTGCGCGCAGTTTGCGCGAGTCCCACAGACTGTTCTCTGCGCGCAGTTTGCGCGAGTCCCAGGGCCCGGCCTTTCGCCGCTCTCCCCGGACTCCACCTCACAGCCCCGTCTCCCTCTGCCTGAGCCTGGGTCCCCAGGGATTGGCCCAGAACTGGGGTTCGGAGCAGTCCGGACTGAGGCTCAGCGCCGCCGGAGGCCTTGTTTCTTCCGGCTAGGGCAACCCAGCATCAGAGTCAACATTCAGTCCTCTGCGCGCATTGCGCGCGACTCCTGGGGCCCTGCCTTTCGCCGTTTTTCCGCCTCACGGCCCTGTCTCCTCCAGCCGGAGCCTGGGTCCCCAGGGTCTGGCCCATAACTGGGGCTCAGCGCTGCCGGTTCGGGGGGGCTCAGCGCTGCCGGTTCGGGGGTTCAGCCCAGGCTGGGGGTTTTATTTCCTTTCTGCTAGGGAAGGAAAGGCGGCTCCCCGCCCTCTCCTCCTCTCCGGCTGCGACCTCTCCGTGCGCGCGTGCGGGCGGGCAGGCGCGCGCAGCATGTCTCCGTACCTTAGGCTTTTTTTCAGCTCCTCTGATTTTCTTTCTGGTTTTCTCTTTCCTTCTTGTTGTAGAAATTTCAGTCAGTCGACTACCTGTAGCTCTGGGCAATGTCCACTCTACATTTTAGTTGTATTCCATTGAAATTGTTGTGTGCTGCCGCGGCTAGATGTCTACCCGAGCAGCCATCTTGGATCCTCTCCTACTATTTTAATATTGTTAGGTTTTACATTGTCCCACAGCTCCCTGAAGCTGTCCTCCTGCTTTTTAATCTTTTTTCTTTTTAGTTCTCTAATTGAGTGATAGTTTCATTTCTGTCTTCTAATTCGCTGATTCCATCCTCAGCTTACCTTAATCTGCTGTGTATTCCTTCAAATGTGTTATTTGTGTTTATGTCATTATTTTTTAAAAATATATATTTATTAATTTTTTACAGAGAGGAAGGGAGAGAGATAGAGAGCTAGAAACGTCGATGAGAGAGAAACATCAACCAGCTGCCTCTTGCACACCCCCTACCGGGGATGTGCCCACAACCAATGTACATGTCCTTGACTGGAATCGAACCTGGGACCTTTTAGTCCGCAGACGATGCTCTACCACTGAGCCAAACCGGTTTCGGCTGTTATGTCATTCTTTATCTCAGACTGTTCTTTTTCATAGTTACTGTATCTTTTTTCATACTGTTGAGCATTTTTACCATCATTACTCTGAACTCTGTTTCAGATAAATTTTCTATCTTTGCTTTATTTATTTCTTCTTCTTGATTATTCTCTACTTCTTTCATTTGGGGGTTGTTTTTTGTTTCCTCATTTTGATTGTCTGTTTGGGTTTGTGACTATGTAGTAGGTAGATCCTCTACACCCTCAATCTCTAGTGCAGGACATTGTTAAACGCTGCTTCTGACTAATTTGATCAGGCAAAGACTCAAAGCCTCCAGAGACCACCTCTGTCTACAGACTAATAGGATTCAGACCTGAATTGCTCCGAGGTAATCATACTTAGTTGTAGTGAGAGTTCAACAGGGTGGGATAGTTGCTTCTGCCTGGAGGCTAATTGTTACTTTTAATCTCTTAAGTGGCCTCAGAGCAAGGTGTGTTCCAATAGGGTGTGTTGACTGTCTTTTCCCCAGGCAAGGCCGATGTCTATGTGGGAAGATGTCCTCTGCTGTGTGAGGGAATGACTTAGCCCAAAAAACTTGGAGGTGTCTGCCTTCTGAGCTCTACCCCCTAAATCCCCAATACTGGGTTCTGCTCTCACAGCTCCCGTCCACTTCACCCTCCTTCTACCAGAGCACAAGATTGGTGGCTCCACAGGGAATTTTTGTGTATTGGCGCTTCAAGAGGGTGCTTGAACTTTCAACTGCCACTCCCTGGCAGACAGCACCCCACTGCTTTTCACAGCTAGATGCTATGTGGCTACCTTCCTCAGTTTGGTGCTCTCTTCTGGGGAGTCCAGCTTTGAGATTAGATCCCAGAGTTCTCAGTAGCACCCTGCCTCCCCTTCTCCCCCCCCCCCCCCCCCCACACACACACAGCTGAGATATCTCTCCAAGACTTCAGTTTCTGTCTGTGGGTGCCCAGCCAGCTCTTTTGTGCCTCTGCCCCTCCTACCAGTCTCTATGTGGTCTCCAGCTTCAGTTCTTGGATGTCAAGGCTCTCTTCTGTGAGTTTTCCGTTGATTATTTAGGAAGCCTTTCCATATTTCAGTTGCATTTCCAGCTTGTTCCTGGGAGCATGTCCATGCAGCATCCACCTGCTCTACTGCCATTTTTAATCCCTTATATACTATCTTGAATGGTGGGCAGTCCTATCACTTCAACATCAAGCTCAATGAAGGCAGGGGCCACCTTCTTCTGCATCCCCTACAAGACTTAGACGTTAACATTTAGAATAGTTATTGATTTATAGGCAGGCAGGTTGGAGAGTGAACCTTCCTCCTCTTTCCTCCTTGGTGTTTCCTTCATTTCCTCTTGCCATCCAAGCCATTTGAAATGTTTCTACTGATTCTTGTCCCTTCCCTCCTTCATCTGTCTGACCAATACAGTGTTCTGCTGTGTGCCAGGTACCAGGGCTGCTTCAGTGAGGGAAAACAGATCTGGCCTCTGCTCTCTAGGCATTTATGGTGAATGAGACAGAGAGTTGTTGATCAGAAAGTCTCCTCAATGTGTGCATGATTTAAGAGAAGGGAAGGAACATGGTGCTACAACCCAGAGAGTCAGGGAAGGCTATCCCTGAGGGGTAACTCCTGAGCTGAGATCTGAAGTGTGAGTGGGATTTGGAGAGCTGAAAGGATGTGCAAGGGTAAAGCATTCAGGAACAGGAAACAGCATGTGGAAAGGTGGCCACCACACAGCCCAGAGATTTCAGAAGGAGCAGTGTATGATGGGGTCCAGGGCAGATGGTGGGAGGGAGTCAGACCCATCAGGGCCTCTATGATGCTGGCAATTCAGACATGTCAAAGATAAGTCATAGTGCTTATTTTAAGTTGAAAGGTATGTATAAGGAAAACATAGTATCTATAGGGTTCAGTGCTGTCTATAGGCATCTGCTGGGGATCTTGGGACATGTTCCCACAAATGAGGGGGGACTATTATACACCAGAGAATCTTAGCGTTGGAAGGGATGTTAGAGGTCATTTTTGTCTAACCTTCCCATCCTTCATGCCTTCCTTCTTCTGTCACTTTGAGTCCTTCCCAGAAACTTCTGGAAGGAGGTTACTTGGTGAGCATGGATGTATTTGGTTTTTCAGGAGTCGCTCATGATCAGGGATATGGCTGAGGCTCTCACCCAGTGGGGACAGCTGAACCCTCCACAGGGAGATGTGCCTGAGAAGCATAGGAATCTGGTCTTGCTGGGTAAGGATGGCTCCTCGGTCCCTGTGAATTTACTCAGTGCTATAGCTTTGCTTCCTCCAAGGAACTCGGAGGTTCTTAGATTAGCCAGTTACCTGCCATGATATTTTGAATTTAATTAAAAAAGGTCTGCCATTGAATCTCTAGACGATTATGGTGTACAAATGGTTAAAAGAGTCTTAATTCCTAAAAGGCCTGAGACATGTAATTTCTGCTTTATGTTTCTGGATATTGTTTTAACACCCCTAGAGTTAGAAATTCATTCCTTTTTTTTTTTTTTTTTTTAAATCAATCTTTATTGTTCATATTATTACAAAGGTTCCTCATTTCTTCCCCCCTCCACCAGGTTCCCACCCCACCCTCCGTCCCCCCCCCATCCCCCATTGTCCTCATCCATAGGTGCAGTTTATGTTCAGTCTCTTCTTCCCTCAATTTCCCCAATAGTAAATCCCTTTTCAGATAGTAAATCAGTTACTTAGCATTTTCTCATATCAATAATACCTCCACATGCCCAATGATACACTTCACACAAAAGACATTTCCCACTAGGTCAACCAGCCTCATCCAGGCCTCACCCAAGGCACTCACAGATCAACACCCCAGTCCTAAACTAACTCAACACATCCAGATCTAAGCCTTCATCACTTGATTCAGCAGACCCTCAAGTTCCCACGAAAGTTTCCAGCCATGTCTGAGAAGCAGCCGTAGGGCAGGGGCAGGCAGGGAGCGAGCTGTTCTGGGCCTGGCTGCTCAGGGCCTGGCCTCTGTTGCTCTGGTTCATTCCACAACCAGCTGCTCCAGTCTGGTCACTGCCGCTCCCGACCTAGTTGCTCTGGACTTGGCTGATGCTGCTCCGGGCCTGGCCGCTCCCAGCCTGGCAGCCGCTGCTCCGGACCTGGCCGCACCCGACCCGCCTGCTCCCCCGGGCCTGGCCGCTCCCAGCCTGGCAGCCGCTGCTCCGGGCCTGGCCGCACCCGACCCGCCTGCTCCCCCGGGCCTGGCCGCTCCCAGCCTGGCAGCCGCTGCTCCGGGCCTGGCCGCACCCGATCCGCCTGCTCCCCCGGGCCTGGCCGCTCCCAGCCTGGCAGCCGCTGCTCCGGGCCTGGCCGCACCCGACCCGCCTGCTCCCCCGGGCCTGGCCGCTCCCAGCCTGGCAGCCGCTGCTCCGGGCCTGGCCGCACCAGCCCCGCCTGCTCCCCCGGGCCTGGCCGCTCCCAGCCTGGCAGCCGCTGCTCCGGGCCTGGCCGCACCAGCCCCGCCTGCTCCCCCGGGCCTGGCCGCTCCCAGCCTGGCAGCCGCTGCTCCGGGCCTGGCCGCACCCGACCCGCCTGCTCCCCCGGGCCTGGCCGCTCCCAGCCTGGCAGCCGCTGCTCCGGGCCTGGCCGCACCAGCCCCGCCTGCTCCCCCGGGCCTGGCCGCTCCCAGCCTGGCAGCCGCTGCTCCGGGCCTGGCCGCACCCGACCCGCCTGCTCCCCCGGGCCTGGCCGCTCCCAGCCTGGCAGCCGCTGCTCCGGGCCTGGCCGCACCCGACCCGCCTGCTCCCCCGGGCCTGGCCGCTCCCAGCCTGGCAGCCGCTGCTCCGGGCCTGGCCGCACCAGCCCCGCCTGCTCCCCCGGGCCTGGCCGCTCCCAGCCTGGCAGCCGCTGCTCCGGGCCTGGCCGCACCCGACCCGCCTGCTCCCCCGGGCCTGGCCGCTCCCAGCCTGGCAGCCGCTGCTCCGGGTCTGGCCACACCCGACCCAACTGCTCCCCCGGGCCTGGCCGCTCCCAGCCTGGCAGCCGCTGCTCCGGGCCTGGCCGCACCCGACCCGACTGCTCCCCCGGGCCTGGCCGCTCCCAGCCTGGCAGCCGCTCCTCCGGGCCTGGCCGCATCTGACCCGGCTGTTCTGGGCCCGGCTGCCCCGGGCCCGGCCGCTCCGAGCCTGGCCACTCCCGACCTGGATGCTCTGGGTTTGGCTACTGCTGTTCTGGGTCTGGCTGCTCCCACCCCGGCTGCTCTGGGCCCAGCTTCTCCGGGCCCGGCCACTCCGGGTCTGGGTGTTCCTGGACTGTCCACCCTGGGCTTGGCCGCCTCCGCCTCATGCCTGGCTGCCACTGCCCCAGGTCTGGCTACTCCAGTGCTGGCTGTTGATGCTCTGGTTCTGGCTGCTGTTGTTCTGAGGCCTGGCCGTTGCTGCTCCGGGTCTGGCTGCCACTGCCTTGTGCCTGGCCACTCTAGGCCTGGCCGTCGCTGTTCCAACATTCTGTCCTTTTTTTTTCTTTTTAAAACGCATTTATGTTGCAATGTTGGCTGGTGAGTTGAGTTCTGACTTAGTCTTTGATTTTTCAAGATCTTCTTTGTATTCTTTCTTAAGTAATTTTACTATTTTTTGCTCTCACTTGATTTCTTCACATTGAGAACTTCTTTGGTTTCTTCCTCCTTGTCCTGGGAGCTCAGCAGGTTGGCCTGTGGCACTCCTTTGTTCTCCGCGGGCTCCTGTGCTGCTTCAGCCTGTTGCCGGGACGGCGCCGCCCAGGAAGCAGCCCCCGGCCTTGGCTCCATTGCCTGAGCTCAGTGGTCAAAGGCTCAGGGGCACCCACGCCCCCAGGGGCCCCGTGGCCCGCCTCCTTGCTGGTGCCCGGTTGGCTGGAGTCTGGCAGGGGCTTCCGCTCCCCTCCGCGTTCCCCCAGCCTAGAGCTTTTTTTTTCTCCTTCCCGCTAGGGAAGTCCAGCATCAGAGTCAACAGACTGTCCTCTGCGCGCAGTTTGCGCGAGTCCCACAGATTGTCCTCTGCGCGCAGTTTGCGCGAGTCCCACAGACTGTCCTCTGCGTGCAGTTTGCGCGAGTCCCCGGGGCCCGGCCTTTCGCTGCTCTCCCCGGACTCCACCTCACAGCCCCGTCTCCCTCTGCCTGAGCCTGGGTCCCCAGGGATTGGCCCAGAACTGGGGTTCGGAGCAGTCCGGACTGAGGCTCAGCGCCGCTGGAGGCCTTGTTTCTTCTGGCTAGGGCAACCCAGCATCAGAGTCAACATTCAGTCCTCTGCGCGCATTGCGCGCGACTCCCGGGGCCCTGCCTTTCGCCATTTTTCCGCCTCATGGCCCTGTCTCCTCCCGCCGGAGCCTGGGTCCCCAGGGTCTGGCCCATAACTGGGGCTCAGCGCTGCCGGTTCGGGGGGGCTCAGCGCTGCCGGTTCGGGGGTTCAGCCCAGGCTGGGGGTTTTATTTCCTTCCTGCTAGGGAAGGAAAGGCAGCTCCCCGCCCTCTCCTCCTCTCCGGCTGCGACCTCTACGTGCGAGCGTGCGGGCGGGCAGGCGCGCGCAGCATGTCTCCGTACCTTAGGCTTTTTTTCAGCTCCTCTGATTTTCTTTCTGGTTTTCTCTTTCCTTCTTGTAGAAATTTCAGTCAGTCGACTACCTGTAGCTCTGGGCAATGTCCACTCTACATTTTAGTTGTATTCCATTGAAATTGTTGTGTGCTGCCGCGGCTAGATGTCTACCCGAGCAGCCATCTTGGATCCTCTTCTCCCTGCCAGAAATTCATTCCTTTTTATTGAATTTGCCCAGGTGGTAATAGCCTTCTTTTCTGACCAAATATATTAAGATGAAAGATATTAAGTTAACACCTCTAACTCTAGGGGTGTTAAAACAATATCCAGAAACATAAAGCAGAAATTACATGTCTCAGGCTTTTTAGGAATTAAGAGGAAAATACCTCTTAAGAAGTGGGTGCTTATTCTTTTAATAAGAGGTATTTTCTAAGAGGAAAATACCTCTTAAGAAGTGGGTGCTTATTCTTTTAATAGGGAGAGGTAGAAACAGGCCTCAGTTGTTCTGAATTGCATCCTGAGCACTGGTGAGGGAGAAATGCAGAACCCACCTCTCCCATAGTGTCTTTCCTAATGACCAAAGAGCTAATCCTGACCAAAGAGCTAATCCTGACCAGACTTCTTCACTTTCCCCATGAACAGGGCTTCCAATTTCCAAGCCTGATGTAATCTCTCAGTTGGAGTCTGGGGAGAAGCTGGAGAGAGAAGCCTCAAAAGGCCCTAATCCAGGTGAGTAAGTGATGGAAACAGAGGATTTAAAACCCTCCTGGCAAGTGGGAAAAGCATCTTTGAAATGCTTGTAAAGGAGCCTTTCAGATTTTGCTAGACCCTAGAAAAGTTGAAGTCCCTTTGTCCCATACCGCATTTTACCCTCTATGGATGATGATCTGTTATAAATTCATAATTTTTTATTTTAGAAAGCAAATACTTTCTACTCTTTTAAAACCCCCCCCCCCCACAATAAGGTTAAATGAAAGTAGCATTTTAATGTATATTAATAATTTGCATGGGTGCAAAGCTCTAAACCAGGCTTTTCTTGTATGTTATTTTACTTCTGAGGGTAATGTGACTTTTTGTCTAACAGCAATGTCTATAAATTGATCTCTGAGTTTTGCCTTGCCTTCTCTATCTAAGCAGAAGCAGCATAGCATGTGGTATGAGTCCAGGTTTTGGACCCAGTCTCCCCAGATCCAAAGCCAAAATCTCAGCTACTCAAGCTCTGTGACCCGTTAATTATCTTCTTAGCTGGAAGTCCATTTGCTTATAACCTGTATCTACCGACTTGTCCTTTAAAATATCAGGCACTTCCATAATTAGGATATGTAGTTGAGAACATTTGATCATATTGATTTATTGTATATACCATCATGGTTGGAATGGATATTAAAGACTTTAAGCCTGGAAATGTTTAAACATTTTTAGCAGTGAAGCTTCCCCTCCCTCCCCCTAAACCCTTACTAGAAAGCCTAGGATTTGGGGGCAGAAATTCTGACAGGTTGGGGACCAATCTGAGCACGTGGGGATTTGATCTTCTCCTCTATAATGCTATTCATTAAAAACAAACAAACAAACAAACACTTAGTTTTATTTTACTCTTTTCAGTTTGTTGGGTAAGGGGAAGTCAGAGAATGACCAATTGCTTATGAATTGTGATGATTTGAATTGGTAGATTTTTTTAAAGTATGTTTTTATTGATATTAGAGAGAAAGGGAGAGGGAGAGAGAAACATGGATGTGAAAGAGAAACAGTAATTGGCTGCCTCCTGCATCTTCCCTACTGGAGATTGAGCCCACAAGCCGAGCATGTGCTCTTGACCAGAATTGAACCTGGATCCTTCAGTCTGCAGGCCAATGCTCTATCCACTGAGACAGACTGGCTAGGGAGAATTTGTAGATCTTGACCATTTTGAATGCTAGTAACTAGAACATGTGTCTTATCTCGAGACAGAACTAACAGGTTTTTGTGTGAGAGTGGTAGTTTTGGAAGGTTAGTCTGTTAGCATTGAGTGGGATATTTTGGAATGGGAAAAGATTGGCAGAAGGAGATCAGCTAAGGATGGTCATTCTCAAGGTGTGAGTTGATAATGCCATGGTGTGATGCTGGCAGTTGGTAGTCTCTGGGAAACTATATGATCCCAACCCTGTTTCCCCAGACAGTGGTTTTTTTTTCCCCACCTCTTCTTAGTCTTGCCATTAGTTTTTCTCATTTCCTAGCCACTGGACAGAGGAATTGTGAATGCCTACTCACCCTCTCCCTGTATGCAGCTGTACTTCTTTGCCCAGTAATCTTTCTTTCCTCACATTCTCTTAAGATTGCAAGCCTGTTTTGAGAGCTTTTAAATTCATGTGTTCCTATTAGCATTTTTTGTTTGTTTAACTATTTTCTCACCACAGTAATTACCTTACTTTCAGTTTAGGAAATGATACGTGTCCATTTTTGTTTCTGTTAGACTGGGAGATAAAACCAGAAGGCAAGGAGTTAACTCGAGAACAGGATGTTTCTGAAGAAAAGTCATCCCCTGGGGTGTTAACTGAAAGATTTCCAAAGGAAGGTGACAGTGGATGTGAGGATTCTCTTGAGAGTCATCAGGAAAACCACGAGAAACATTTAATACAAGAAGTTGTCAGTCAGAAGAAATCTGGAGAGAGAAGTTACCAGTGTGATGAATTTGGAAGAAATTTTTGCCGGAGGTCATTACCTGTTCAACAGCAAGGAGAAAGACTACGTAACTGTGATTTGTTGAAAAAGAGCCTAAAACAAAATTCAGATCTAATGAGGCATAAGAGAATTTGTGCAGGGAAAAAACCCTGGAAGTGTAATGAGTGTGAGAAAGCCTTTAGTTACTACTCAGCTTTTGTTTTGCATCAGAGAATTCACACAGGAGAAAAGCCCTATGAGTGTAATGAGTGTGGCAAAGCTTTTAGCCAGAGCATACACCTTACTCTCCACCAGAGGATTCATACCGGAGAAAAGCCCTACAAATGTCACGAATGTGGGAAAGCCTTTAGTCACCGCTCAGCCCTTATTCGGCATCACATAATTCACACTGGAGAGAAACCCTATGAATGCAATGAATGTGGGAAAGCCTTTAATCAGAGCTCATATCTCACTCAACATCAGCGAATTCACACTGGGGAGAAACCTTATGAGTGTAATGAATGTGGGAAGGCCTTTAGCCAAAGCACATTTCTTACCCAGCATCAGGTTATTCACACTGGAGAGAAACCCTATAAGTGTAATGAATGTGGAAAAGCTTTTAGTGATCGTTCAGGTCTCATCCAGCACCAGAGAACTCATACTGGGGAAAGGCCTTATGAGTGTAATGAATGTGGGAAAGCCTTTGGCTACTGTTCAGCCCTGACTCAACATCAGAGAACTCACACAGGGGAGAAACCCTATAAATGCAATGATTGTGCCAAAGCCTTCAGTGACCGCTCAGCCCTCATCCGTCACCAAAGAACACATACTGGAGAGAAACCTTACAAGTGTAATGATTGTGGGAAAGCCTTCAGCCAGAGCTCATCTCTCACAAAGCATCAGAAAACTCACACTGGAGAAAAACCTTATATGTGTAAAGAATGTGGAAAAGCCTTCAGCCAGAGTTCATCCCTTTCTCAACATCAGAAAACTCATGCAGAAGGGAAAACCAAAGAATATGGAAAAGTTTTTAGTGAGCATTCAGAATTTGGCCAGCAAAATAGAATTCATAATGGTTAAAGACTATAAACTTTTTTCCTGGATGTGACTAATCATTCTTGAGGGGAAAATTGTAGATTGAGATAACTACCCAGATGATTACTCACACCCAGGGAAAAATGAGGCTTGTGAGTTTGCCAGTCACAAAGTTCCCATGAGGGCAGCTTCCCCTGAATCCACAGAACATTGGCCTGGCAGTTCACTTTTGTGCTTTGTGTCTTTTAGACCGTGCTTATTTAGATATCTACTGAAAATCACATTAATTACCCGGGTCAGACCTGTAGCCTAGAAAGGGGGAGTACAGAAGAGTCTTGGATGTTTTCTGTCTGTTTCAAGCTGAGTTACTTGACAATGTGCTTATTTATGAAGATTTACCTTCATTGTATGTAGTTTGTACTTTAGACTTTTTCATACCATAGTAAAATTTAGTTGTAGGCCTGAACTGACACTGAATATTAGGTTGTGAAAATTTGAAAAGACTTTGAAATACTTGCCTTTCACCATTTTATTCTTGAGTAGAGGAAGATGATATGTTTGAATTGAAACTTTGAAGGTTATTGCTAGAAATGTTTTGAGTGCTATGTTTTTAGTTTTCACATTTGACTAAGATGTTTCTTTGTGTGGATTTCTTTGAATTTATCCTGTTTGCTGAGCTTGAATCTGTAGGTTTATGTCTTTTGCTAAATTGGGGGAATTTTCAGTTATCATTGAATACATTTTCAGCCTCCATTCCCACATCTTCTCTCCTTCCAGGATACTGAAACAAATGTTAGGACTTTGCTTGTAATATCACAGGTTCCTGAAACTCTGTTTATTGTTTTTCACTATATGTTTATCATAATCTGCTCAGGCTGTCATTAAAATAAAATTTCATAGACTAGGTGGTTCAAACAACAGAAATTTATTCCTCAGAATTATGGAGGCTGGAAGCCCATGGCTTCAGTCTCTGGTGCTGGATCTCTTCCTGGCTTTCTTGCCTGCTGTATCCTCGTATGGCCTTCCCTTGATGTATGCCTGTGGAAAGAGGCAAGATCTCTCTTCCTTATCTTTAAAGGCCACCAGTCCTATCAGATTAGGACCTTACCCTTATGACCTCATTTAACATTAATTACCTCTAAAAAATCTTTCCTCCAAATACTGTCACATTTGGAAATAGCATTCAACAAGAATTTGGGAGGAACAGCATTTACCCCCTGGCCCCCCAAATTCATGTTCTCACATGCCAAATACATTCATTTCATTCCAACAACTCTCAAAGTCTTAACTTATGCTGGCATCAACTCTAACGTCCACAGTTTCACCAACATATCATGTAAAGTAGGTATGAGTGAGACTCAAGGTATATTTCATCCTGAGGCAGATTAGTCTTCAGCTGTGAACTTGTGAAACCAGACCAATGGTGGGGCAGGCACAGGACAGATGTTGCACTATAAAAGAGGAAGGAAGGAAGGAAAATGAAGGAAGGAAGGGAGGGAGGGAAAGAGGGAAGGGAAGGGAAGGAAGGAAGAAAGGAAGGAAGGAAGTAAAAAGGTCCCAAGCAATTCCAAAACCCAGTGGGGCAATTCCATCAGATCTTTATGGCTTACCTTCCAGATTCAGTGAAGCAGGGGTTCCACCTTCACAATTCTCTGCTTCAGTAGTCCTGCCACTGTGACTGGTCTGGGCAGTCCTACCCCCAAAGCTTCAGTGTTAGGCCATGTGGCCTGTTGACACTTCAGTGTATCTCTGCCTGTTGGAACTAAAGAGGTAGCCTGATGGTCTCTGAATCTATTCAGTCATTCTTTCTTTGCACCATAGGGCTCTGCTATATGGTCCTGTAGGATCTAAGAAGTCTGACAGCCTGACTTCATCTTGTCTAGTGTTTTCTGTCCCCTTTAGTACCAACTGGCAGTGTTTCTGATGGTGTAATCCCATCTCTATTCCTGGCTTCTACTGAGATGGTTGATTAAACCCATGAGTCACACCCAGGATCTCTATAAATGGCCCTTCAGCCACAGCTGAACAAGTTTTCTCATTTTGCAATGGGGATAGACAGAATTTTCCAAATCTCCAAGTTCTTTTTCCTTTTTTGCTTAACAATTGTTTCTTCAATTCACCTCTCTCCTCTCACATTTTACTATAAACAGGTAGACCCAAGCTGCACCTTTAATATTTTGCCTACAAATCTGCTGAATACCCAGTTTCATTGCTCCCAAGTTCTCTCTTCCACAAAACAATGGAACACCATTCAACCAAGGATGCTGCCACTTTACAAGGTGAATTGCCTTTCTTCCTGTTTCCATTTCTGTCTGACACCTCATCAGAATGGTCTTTAATACACCTTAAAACCCTTTCAGCCTCCAACCGTTACCCAGTTCCAAAGCTACTTTAACATGGTTAGGTATTTGGTATAGCAGCACCCAAATCTGCCTTAGTCTTGTTGGGCTGTCATACTACAGCCTGGGGGCTCAAACAACAGATATGTATTTCTTACAAATCTGGATACTGGAAGTTTTTGAGAGCAAGGTACCAGCTGATTTAGTTTTGGTGTTCCTGGCTTGTACACAGCCACCCTCCTACTGTGTCCTCATAGCCCTTTCTCAGGACATATGTGGAGAGAAGGAGGGAGGGAGGGAGGGAGGGAGGGAGGGAGGGAGAGAGAGAGAGAGAGAGAGAGAGAGAGAGAGAGAGAGAGAGAGAGAGAGAGAGAGAGCTCTTTTCTTAGAGGACACCAACCCTCTCAGATTAGGACCCACAGTTAACTTTTAAAATCTTTTTAAAAAAATGTATTTTATTGATTTTTTACAGAGAGGAAGGGAGAAAAACAGAGAGCTAGAAACATCGATGAGAGAGAAACATCGACCAGCTGCCTCCTGTACAACCCCCACTGGGGATGTGCCCACAACCAATGTACATGCCCTTGACCCAAATCGAACCTGGGACCCCTCAGTCCGCAGACTGATGCTCTATCACTGAGCCAAACCGGTCAGGGCCATAGCAATTTTTTTCTTGTTCTGGTTGGGTGCTTTTTATTCTATCTCCAAGTTCACCAATTCTTTCTTCTGTCCCTTCCATTCTGCTGTTGAGCCCATCACTAACTTTTGTTATACTTTTCAGTCCCATTTGACTCTCTATTCTGTTTCTTTGCCGACATTTTCTGTTTTTAAATTTGGACGATTATGTTTGTAATTGCTTACTGGGGTATTTTTATGGTAGCTGTTATTCTAATATCTGGGTTAACTCAGTGTTGGCATCTGTGGATTGTCTTCTCATTCAAGATGAGTGATTTTCAGTGGAAATCTGGACATTTTGGGCATTATGTTAGAATACTATACTGTTTAAATCTATTTGGGCTGGCCTCTGCCACTGCCCTGGAGGATAAAGTGTTTGGAAGTTGGTGTTGGAAGTCCATCATTGGCCTCTACTACTAAAGTATTTGGGTAGGAGTATGAGTTATAGCTCCCCAGTAAGGCTCCACTGATACCACCTAGCTGGGAGGGGCAGAAGTGTCTCATTAGTGCTCCTACCCACTGACACCATGTGCCAGCATTGGGTGGGGAGTGACCTCATAACTTGTTGAGAGTCCTGACCCTCCAATGTCCAAAATAGTAAGAAGGGAGAGATGTCTGGTTTCTGGGTAGGGTTAGAAGCCTGGTCTCCCCATATGGTTTCCATTGATACTGCTGGAGTGGGAGGGGGAGTTTTTTGTTTGTTTGTTTGTTTGTTTTAAATCCTGTCTCCTCACTTGACCTTCTTTGACTCTACTCCAGGGTGGGGATTATAGCCTGGTGAGGGTGGAAGTGTAGGCTCCCCACTTGGCCTTTGATGGTGTGAATAGGGCTGAATTTTTTCCTATGACTTTTGGCTGGAGGAGGGTGGTTATTGTCTAAAAAATTTGTCTTGTGAGTATACTCCTTTCTTAGTCCTTTGGCTGAAAAGAGAAGATGTCTCTTGTACCTTTTTTGGTCTGTATCTGCGGCATTTCTGGGTTGCCAGCTTCCTCAGAACCCAACCTGGGAGAGATGAGGCAAGAGGGAAACTCAAGGGACTCTGTGCTGTCATTCTTCAGGTCCATGTACCCCAGTAGCCTGTATCCTCAGAACTTCTTACAGTTTTATAGATGGTGTCCAGGGTTTTAGCTGTGCTTAGAGGAAGAGCGACGAGTACTCCTCCCCTTTCTCATGATGTCCTTCCTTTCGACATGTAAGTGATATGTCATGTTGTGTCAGAGGTTGTGGTGTACCTAGGTTGTTTGTAACTAGTCAGGATTAACTAACAAGAGGGACGCTCACTTGTTCTCCAGAGAGGAGCTGCGAAGTTGGTAGATAGAAACCACCAGGCTTCAAGCTTCATCCAGCTTTGAACAAACTATAGTTTTTAAGTGGAGAGAACACCAGTGTTATTTATTTTATTTTATTATTATTATTATTTTTTTAAATAGATATTTTATTGATTTTTTACAGAGAGGAAGAGAGAGGGATAGTTAGAAACATTGATGAGAGAGAATCATCGATCAGGTGCCTCTTGCATACCCCCTACTGATGATGTGCCCGCAACCAAGATACATGCCCTTGACTGGAATCGAACCTGGGACCTTTCAGTCTGCAGGCTCTATCTACTCTATCCACTGAGCCAGTTTCGGCTGTTATTATTTTTAATCTCCCTCGAGGACATTTTTCTATTGAAAAACATTTTTTTTTTTAAGAGAAAGTGGAAAGGAGGGAGAGAGACAGGGAACGAAACATCAATATGAGGGAGATATATTAATTGGTTGCCTCCTGCATGCCTGCTACTGACTGGAATAGAACCTGGGACCCTTCAGTTCATGGGCCAATGCACTATCCACTGACCCAAACCAGGGAAGATACCAGTGTTATTTTTTTTAATCCTCACCCCAAGATATGCTTATTGATTTTAGAGAAAGGGGAAGGAAGATTAAAAGAAACATCGATGTGAAAGAGAGCACTGATTAACCTTCTATACATTCCCAGACTGCAGGTCAGGCCTGTAAACTAGGTTTGTTCCCTGACTGGGAACTGAAC